ACGGGCTCGCCGCCGAGACAAGCTCCTGTGGGCCTCCTAGATGGGGTCCGAGTAGATGGGGTCGGAGGATCACGCCGCATCGCCGATGCATCGACGATGAGGCTCGATGTGGAGCCCGATTTTCCCCGCGCCGACGTCGCGGATGGGTCGCCGACGTCGCCGATGCATCGTCGATAGGTCGGCGATGCATTAACGATGCGGCGCGATCCTTCGGCCCCATCTACCCAGACTTCCGACGTCATGACTTTTTCATGACGCGACCCCCAGGACCTGTTTTACAGCCTGGTCGTTTTTTTGAAGGTCCCGAAGCCCAGTGAGGGCCCCCAGAGGCCGAACATCGCGAAGCTTGCCGTGGCGATCCTTTCGTGGCGCGAGGGGGCCTGGGCACTTCGACCCCATCCGGGATGCCCCTCGGCCTTGCAAGTTGGCCTTCCGCATGCCGGGGCAACAACAATATCGGTCGCCGTTTTGCTCGGCCCCGCCTGGAGCCGCCGCTGGGCCCCAGCGGCACTGCGCGGCGGGCTGTGGCGGAGCGGCTCCAGAGACTTAGCATCGCTCGGACGTGTGCATTTTTCTGCGGCGGGGACCATCGAGGAGCATTTTGAGTCATCGAGATCCCCCCAACAAAAACAACACGCACGAGGGCGAACAACATGCACGGGGAGTGGACGCGCGAGCGATGGCGAGGAGAGCGTGCTTCTGGGTCTGGGATCGGGGCTTTGGCCCAAGTGTCCTCAGGATTTCCAAGGAGACCCCCCCAGCCTCCAGTGTACTCCTCACGAGGCCCAGAGGGTCCCCGGGGGTTCAGAAATTAGCGGGAAGCTGGGGGCTTTTTGGGCCATGGGCAGTTTTGGCAACCCCCGAGCTGTTAGGGACGGGTGTCAATGCAAACGGGGGTCAGCCATAGCGCCAGACCTTGCAGGATCATGCGGGGCCAGGGGCGCACTGACCCAGGCTTGGGTACAGGGTCCTGCAGGATCATGCAAAACTTGATTGGCCTTGGCTTGGATTGGCCCGGGTCAGTAGATCCCCGAGGCCGGCGCGGCGGGCGGCGGGGGGCGGTGCCGGAGAGTGTGTTTCCGCTTTTCCCTTGTGCACCTCCCCTTTGTTGAGCATCGGGGGGGCACGCTTGCGCCCGCTGCCTATACCCACCTCGACCCCACCCAACCTTTTTGCTTTGGGTTGAGGGTTAACTGTTTGGCTAGCTCGCGCTTCATGAAGTGGGTATGTGCCCGCGGGTTAGAGACACCGAATGGTCAAAACCTCCCACAGAGCGTTGTGTGTCGGCCCATGCTAAATTTCTTCTTGCACAAGTGTTTCGGCCGCCAGGGTAGCCCCTGTGTTGCATATCGATCGGCCGACTGCTCGCGCCCTGGTGCTTGCTGCAGCCTCCTGCAGCCTTTTGGGGCTCCCAGGGCCTCATGGGGTCTCCTGGGGCTTCATGGGGCCTCCTTGGTCGGGGCCTCCCACGCTTGCTTTGAGCGTCTTGGGGCCTCTTGGGCCCGCGATGGAACCGAGGGCTTCACGTGGCGTCCTGGGGCCTCCTGCAGCTCCCTGGGCCGCCCTGAGTTTCGCTGGGGGCTCTGAGGCTTCCTGGGGCTTCCTGGTGCTGCTCTGGGCGTCCTACGGCTTAATGGAGTTCCCTTGGGCGTCCTGGGGCCTCCCAGAGATTTCTGGGCCGCTCTGGCTGTGCAATAAGGAACTGCCTATACGAGAACCAGAGAGGTAAAAGTCAGCTCTTTTCTGGGCGCTGCATGTGTTCATCCAGTTGGACACGTGCGCCAGACAACCAGCAGCTGGCGCCCATCAAGTGAAGCCGCTTGCCATCGCGGGAAACGCAGCGGCTGCTTCCCCGACGTCGCCGCGCAGAGCCCAGCCCGGTGGAGAGTGCGCGAGGAAGGGGCCCCACTGCCTTCTAAAAGGAACCCCGCGCGCCCAGCGAGGGCGCTTCCCTGGAAGGGACCGTGGCGGCCGCCGTGCTTGGCTACCGGGGCCTCAGTTCATCCGCCCCCTGTGCTCTGTACTTCGCCGTTCCGGCTTGCCCGTGCCTGGATATGTGCCGGATGGTCGTCGTCGTCGTCGTCCGTCGTCGTCGTCGTCGTCGTCGTCGTCTTCGGCGTCCGTCGTCGGCGTCCGTGGTCGTCCCTCGTCCTCGTTCGTCGTCGTCGTCGTCGGCGGCCGACGTGAGCAGATCGTTAAATTGCTCAACGCATGCATGAGGCAAGGCAGGGCCGCACGCAACCTGGCAGGCAGTGCGGGAAGTCCTCGGCGTGAGAGGAGACCCCGCCCACTCCTTTGTGCGACATGCATTTGGGATGCCCGAGTCGAACCTACGCAGGGGGCTGACCATCAACTAATTGGCGCAGGCGCACGGGCCAGCAGCAACGTGGAGTGTTGCTTCTTGATGACGATGCCAGCCCCCGCAACCGGCGGGGGCGAAAACCTTCCACAATCGGCGGGGGTCAGGGGCGACTATCACAGGGATTGGTTGAACCTTCTGCAATCGGCGGAGGACAGGGGCGGCCAACCCTAGAACTTGCGAGCTGCTCGACGCAAAATGAGAGCGCTGCGAGCACACAAGGCCGCAACGCTTCCCCCTCTCCTCCTAGCGCGTGCGCGCCGCGAGCCATAATGGCCACAACGCTTCCTCTCTCTCCTCCTGGCGAGCACTGGCAACGGCGTTTCCTCTTTCTCCCCCTAGCGATTCTCTTTGGTCGCTTTCCGAGAGTCTTGGGCGAAAGACGTACCCGAACGTGTGTCAGAAGGTTTTCCGACCGCCTTTGCGTTATTAGTTTGTGGGTTTCGAGAAAAGTGCTTTCCGTCGAAAGCTAAAATGTTCACACCCTTTCTTCCTTTCGCCCTCCGCTGGCTGCGAACATTTGTGGTGCCGACTTTCTTTGGCTGCTTTCCTAGAGGGTTGGGCGAACAGCGCAACCGAACCCAACGCATTTGCGTGTTTTTTCGACCGTCTCGAGAGGTTTGACTTTTTTGTTGTGCGGTGTTTGGCAGACCCCGCCAGGCCCCAGGGCCGTCGAGCGCCGACTCGGGACGAAGACCTGGCCCGAGGGTGAGTTCGAGGCCTCCTCTGGGGGGGCCCGCGTCGAGAGATCCGAGGCATCGGATGTTCGAGGCGCTCCGTCGCTATTTCGGCTTGAGCGAAGTGCTGGCGCTGCAGCCCGCGGGCCGCCTCCAAGCCCTCCAGCTCCGACCGTGTCATCCGCAGGGCGCGCCGCCGCTTCTGCCCGGGGTTGGGCGCCCAGTTCGTCGCCCTCCTGGGCCCGGCCTGCCCCAGGCAGCCGCTGGAGCGCTTCGGCAAGAAGGGGGACCTGGTTGACCCCGAAGTCGGTGCAGTCAATGGGGACAGCGCGTGTATTTTGGGACAAATCCACTGCGAACGCAGTGCAACTGAGAATTGCGCTGCGCTGCGCTGCAGCGAATGAGTGCGCGCGAGCCGGGCCGAATCTATTGCGCCACCCCTTTGTATCTTGACCCTCGTTCGGTTCAGTCATACAGGGGGGGTGCCTCGAGCGTTGCCCCGCCGCGAAGTCAGGGCCGGCCGAGTCGGACACTGAGGCGCTGCTCTCCGACACGAAGAAGGGCGGGGGAGATGTCTTCCTACAACTCCGTCAACGAGGCGGGGAAGGAGGACTGCCCGACGCGGTGCGACGATCCAGCGCGCCTTTCTCCAAGACGCATCCGCTGGGGATGGTTTCTCGAGGATGGAATGTTTCAAAGGGAACGATTGCATGTTGGAGCTGCTCCCACCCTCGAGGCGCCAGTCCACGATGGCGGCTCCAGCTTCTAGAGCCGGCGGAGGGCGGCCCCGAGCCTGGCGAGAGCCCAGCCGCGACCACCAGGAAGGAGGAGGTCGACTGCACGACGCCAGGCGGCTCCCGCGAGCAGGCGCGCCCGCTTCAAGCCGGAACCAGCGGGGGTGGTTCCTCGAGGGCGAGATGATTCAGGCGCGTTTATTTCGGTGCCCCTCCTACCCTGTAGGAGCCACTCCACGATGGCAGTCCCAGCTGTGACCTCGGCGAGGACGGCGCCGACCTGGGCGAGACGTGCGCGGCCCCCGCAGCGGCCGCGAAGCCAAGAGGGCGGATGGGGGGGCGTCTACTCCCGCGAGCCGGCGGCGCCGCCCGCGGTAGAGCCGGCAGAAAAGCCGGGGGGGGGCGGGGGCGTTTGACGGCCTGCGGCCGGGATCTAGGCCTCCCAGACAGGTCGGAATTGACGGGCTCTGACGATCGCGCCGCGTGGCCGATCCATCGCCGACGCATCAGCTGCGCCATCCGAGTAAGCAGCTCCTGGTGGAGTTCGACACGTCGCACGGGCCGCTACACGACAACGACGATGTCGCGCCAAGACCTGATACGTAGCCAAGATGACGCCTACTACAGGATCGACATCGCACCAGGCACCAGACACATCTCAGCACAACCGCGCCAGCCAAGCACTGGCCGAGATGTACCACACCAAGGTCGATAAGGACGACCTGTAGGGGCTGACGCTTCCTGTGCTGCCGTATCTCTTGGCGTTTGGCACTGCCGACGGAATCGACACGCAAGTCGCCGGCGACGCGTGTCGAAACAGTCTCCTGGGGCGCCCGAGTCTCCCCGGCCGACGTCGCCGACGCATCGCCGACGTCGCCAGCGGGTCGTCGACGCGTCGCCGATGCGTCGGCGACGCGGCGCAATCCTCCGACCGCCTGTTCCCGGGCGCCATCCAGGCGGCCGTTATGGGAGGGTTCTGCTGCGACATCCTCTCGTCGAGAAGAACGCGCGACGGAAGGTTCGGGATCCAGGATTCCGGGCAGTTTCGTCGGTTCTCGGCGGTCATCTAGCTTGGGCGCGCTCTTCAGCAACTGCGCGCGTCCAGCAGCTGCGCCTCGCCGAGAGCTTTCTGGGGCCGCCCAGGTCGCCCTGGACAGCCGCCGGAGGGCCGATCTTTTCCCTGAAAGTCAGGAGGCAACGACAGAGAGGGATACACCTTAGGCGATGCTTAAGAAAACCTAAATTTCGTCCAGAGTCTCGATTATTCTTAACTTTTCAATGTAAATCCCAAGATTTTGATAGAAGTTCTGGGTTTTATTCCATTTCTGAGACTATGAATTTCTTAACCCATGATTTCTTAAGCATTTCGCAGGGTGTAGACTCATCGACAAGTCCAAAGACGGCGTCCAAAACACGTTTACGAGTCGGTCGTTGAAAATACATCGTAGCCCCCCGCAGCTGCGGATGAGAGTGAGGGGGGGCGGGGACGTCGGCAGTCCGCGAGGCTGTGGAGAAGCCCGCCGCAGGCGCACAATTTTTCAAGCTATACAACGAGCCCGCCGCAGGCGCCGATTTTGGGTTAAAACAATGTAGGTGGGTCGCGGGTTGGATCGCAGGTGGGTCGCGGGTCGGGCGATGGGTCGCGGCTGGGTCGCGGGTGGGTCGCGGGTGGGTCGCGGGTGGGTCGAGGGTGGGTCGCGAGCGGGTCGCGGGTTGGGTCGCGGGTGGGTTGCGATTGGGTCGCGGAGTGAGTCGCGGGTGGATCGCAAGGTGGGTCGCGGGTAGGTCGCGGGCTGGGTCGCGGGACGACGACAACAACAAACAGAACTCTCACCACGTGTCCGCACTTCAGCCACACACCCAGGGACAATGAATGACCATTCGGCCCCCTCACTCCTGATTATTTGGAGATTCCCAGATCCCAAAAAGTCTTTTTTGAATTCCGGGCCGATGGCGGCCGTCATTTGGAGGGGGAGCGATGGCGTCGCGTTTCGCGCAGGCGGCGTCCGGGAGTGCGTAGGCGTGACCAAGGGCGGGTGTCAGCAGCGTGCAGGCGGCGATCTGCGCCACAGCGCCTCTGTGCACCACAGTTCCCGCGCGCACCGCAGCGCCTCTGTACACCGCGTCGCCTGTAAACGCCACGGCATAGTCGCGTGCAACGCGGCGCCAGCGTGTGCCACAGTGTTTGCGTGCACCATAGCGCTCGCGTGCATCGCAGCGCCTGCGCACGCCACATCATCCGCGCGCGACGCAGTGCCAGTGTACATCGCAGTGCCCGCGTGCACCACAGAGCCTGCGTGCACCACGGCGCTTGCGTGCACCACAGCAACCGTGCGCAACAGAGCACCATTGTTACATATAGAATTCTTGGCGCTTCGCGTATACCCGCCTTGCCTCTGAAGACGCCGAAGACGGGAGAGGACGCGCCGCCAAGTCCCCAAGGGGGAACCACATGCGCACGGAGGCTCGCAGGGAGCCCTGGAAGGACAGTAGGGGTGCTCAGCCATACTACGAGAACCTTAACGACCCCAAGGGCGGCGGCCCCATGTACAGATGCACTATTGCAGCCGCAAGCGTGGAAAAGGACGAACCCATCTAGGACAAAATCACACGCCTGCAAAAGACATTGGGAGGCACCTTCAACGCTATCTGGCACGCGTGGGTTAAGCGGGCTGCCCTGAGTCAGGACCTCAAGGGAGGCTATAAGAGCAACCCCAAGCTCAACACACCCGCGACGTGCGCGGATTTCCTGGAAGCATGGGCCAACGCCGGCTCCGACGCATACCGGATGGATCGTGAGCTCAAACTCTGCGTAGACTGGGTCGAAGTTCGGCGCAGGCACATGAATTTTCCCGTGCGACACGACGCTCCCGCACACGCCCCACGCGAACACGGCTGCCGCGACACGCCAGCCCCCTGGACTGCCGAGAATCGAACGGTTACGCGTGCAGCGGCACAGGACCCCTGGGCAGGAGCCATTGGAACTGCCACCCCTGGCCAATTGCGGGGCTGGCAAGAGTGGTCCTCGTGGGAGCGGCGTGACACCCCATGGGCAGGGGCAAACGATACTGTCCACGAGGGGACGACCGCGACTCCGAAAAGCGGGCCCGCTGGTGGGCCAAGAGCGACCCCAACACCCAAGGTTGACGTGCTCCCGCCACGGCGTACCTCAGCGTGCCAACGCCCAGGTACAGGCATCAGCCCAGAGAGGATCAATGGTCCCCCCACCTCCAGCGACCCGTGGCCCTGAAGGGGCCTGTTTCACTTCGCTGCGCCCGGCTCAGGCCGTAATGCCCGGGGCCACCCTTCCCTGGGCCGAAGGCTCACCCCCACATTTCACCCACGGCGCACCTTAGCTAGACAGCCCTCGCTGGATAACTGGACCACCCGCCACCTTTTCGGGCCCGCCGCTGGGGGATCCCCCACATGCACCCGACATCTAACCCTCACTGGCCTTGCGGGGCCCGCCTGGCTCACACCGGCAGAACCCCCAGGCACCCAGACTTTGCTGTCCGATGACGACAGCCTGCCGCGCGGACCCTGGGCGGGAGGTGGGCCCCAGCGTCCCCCCTCCTGCCTGGTCGCTGGCTCGACCTAGCTAGGTCTCAGGTTTGTCACACCGCAGGCGCCTGAACATCAGCGGCGGTTAGCTGCGACCCTGGATGAACCAACACACGCCGTCCCCACGGAGGCGCCGGCCTCCGCGGGGGCAGCCCAGCCTTCAGCGAGTCAGTCCACTGGCTGCAGACTGCCCACCCTGTCGGACGAAAGACCTACCGTTCGGTACTACTTTCCTCTCAGCGGCGGTTAGCTGCGACCCTGGATGCCCCTCGGGAAATGGCGCCCGTGCCCCTTGGCCAGGTGCACCTGGGTTCCGTACGAGGTGCGGTGGTGTCTGTCCCCACCGCCTCTCTCCTCGGTTCCCTCTCGGGCCAGGCTCAGGCCACGTCCCCTGCCCTTGGCCTTCGAGGTTGTCGTTTCCTTGCGCCCCACCCGTGCCGGTCGCCCCTTGGGAGCCCCTCCGCGTGGGGGGTCGGTGATGTCTGTCCCCACTGCCCCTCCCTCCGGGTCTCCCCCAGGCCGGGTCGCCGCCAGGTTTGTCGCCTGGTCTCGGAGGCTTTCGTCCCCACGCCCCAGGGCTGCCCAGGACCCCCGCTGTCAGCGGTAACGCTACCTCACCTTCAGCGGCGGTTAGCTGCGAACCTGGACGCCCGCGTGGTATGGCAGATTCGACGGTGACCCTGGATCCCTGCGGGGATTGGCGGACGCGGCGGATAAGGCCGTCCCACGGTGGCCTTCGGCGTACATCAAGCAGCTGCTGCAGTGCAGTTCCACCCTGGACGCTTCACCTTGCTGGCGATGTTCTTCCCCACCAGCTTGCCCTCACGCAGCGCTTCCGCCGGCGCCCGCGCAGCCGTGCATGGATGGCCCCCTGCAGGATCGGTGGTAACTCATGTTGCGCGGGTTGACCGCCCCTGGAGGTCAGCCAGCTTCGAGTGGTTCAGCCTTCGCAGCCTCGGCCGCCCTCCGGGCCCGCCCCACCCCCGGCTTGGTTTTCGACGCTCCTCGGCGGAGCAGCACGGCGGGCTCGCACACGCCGTTGGCGCGGCTTGGGCTTGGCGCCCCACTGGCGACGGCCCATCGCTTACCACGTCTGGTCGCCACAGCGCGTAACACAGAATTGCCTGGCATTTTGCCGCAGGGCTGCACGTTGCTCGAGCTTCCCTGGGCGTTCCAGTTCAGCCAGCCAGCCCCCCGCCGCCGCTGCCCCAGCTGCCGCGTTTGTGAGCTGGCCCGGCCGGCTCGTGCTGCGCCCAGTAGCTAATTAGGTTTGCCCGTCGGCCCGGACACCCTGTTCGCCGCCTGCGCCCTTCGCTGGTGGCCGCGACCAAAAAGTATACCCACCAACCTGGGGACTTGCGTCCTGTCCAGTTCCAGCGTGAGTGTCTGCACTTCCCTGGCATCTGGTCTTCAGTCATTGCCACAGCTGGCCGTGACTGTCAGTGCTTCTGGCCCTCGGGGTCTCCTGGCCGCCGGTTCACTCAGGAGTTTTTCAGCCTTCTTGAAAGGACTTGCGCGTCCCTCGTCGGTCCGCTGTCACTCGCTGAGCTATCTCGCGGTCCCGCGCTTCGCCACCTCTGTGGCGCGCCGACCTCTGGCGCCTTGTGGCGACAAGGGCAAATTCACGTACCTGGTGATCCAGCTCCCATTGGACCCGCACGTTTGCAGCTTCCTGGCAGCCCCAGCAGCTTGCAGTACCCACCTTCGGCGCTGGTTCTCAGCCTTTGCGGTTGCAGCACAGCCCCGGCGCAGCTGCTTCCCCCGGCGGTAGGTCCTGTCTCTTCTGTGCGCGCGCCGGCAATTAGGTTCGCTCGTAGCCCGAGCTGGCTCGACCCGCTGCTGGCACCTTCGCCTGCGGCTGCGACAAAAAAGTATACCCACCAAGCCTGCCCCTGCTCGCTCGGCGTTCGATCTTTTTTTCGCGCGCCCGCGTACCAACAACAAAAAGTAGACTCACCAAACCCATTCAGAAGCAGTTTGCCGGGCGAGTTGAAGCGTTGTTGTGAGAAGTTATCGGGAGTCTCTTGGAGCCACCTTGGGGCTCTCTTGGGATCCCCTCGGGGCCTGTTTGGGGCCCTTTCTGGGCCCGTTTGGGGTCATTTTGGGGCCGGCTGCAAGGTCTGAGAAGTCTTTGGGGCCGCCTTGGCCCCCGCAGCTCAAAACGAGGGAAGTCCTCAATGCAGGCCCGTCCCAGCGGAGGCTCACGATTTGCCTCGCGGCGTCTTCTTGGGGGCCCTCTTGGGCCCCTCTCGGGTTTTTCTTGGGCCGTATTGGGGCCATCTTGAGGTTTCGGAAGCCCATCAGAAGCGAAACGGCGAACACAACAACCATTGATTTTGTTTCAACGTTTTGGAGCCATTATGGCCTTTTTGGGGGGTCCTTGGAGGGCTCGGAGGGCACTATGAACCATCTTGCGGCCGTTTTGGGGCGTCTTCGATGTATGTGCGAGGTTATGTTGGGCCATCTTCAACTATGTTGGCTTATCTTGGAGGCCATCTTGGGTTCTCTGAGGCCCTCTTGGAGCCATGCCAGCAACCGTCTGCAACAGAGCACCATTGCTGTATATAGAACTGTAGAAGGAATCCGTATGACAACATGGAGCGCCTGTGGGTTCCACAGAAACCACTTGTAGGATATAGGATTGGGACAGGAAGCCTTATGGAAAAAGAAGCACCGCTGGAGTCTACGAGACTTCCCGAGTCTCTCCGCATCATCCTAGCTCTTCCTCCCATCTGCGACCCCAAGCCTCCCGCAGTATTGGCCGTCGGACAATGAAGTGGACTGATTCGATAGACCATTCAGCGGTGCACGCTGAGATGCGCACACGCACTGTAGCGCCGACCCGCACGACGGGGGGAAGAATGAGGGAGGAGGAGGATGAGGAGGAGGATGAGGACGAGGTGGGGGAGGAGGAGGAGGAGGAGGAGGAGGAGGAGGAGGAGGAGGAGGAGGAGGAGGAGGAGGAGGGAGAGGAGGAGGAGGAGGAGGAGGAAGACAGGAGGAGGAAGAGGAAGCGGGAGGAGGGAATAACATCGCATTGTATGATCAGCAATTTCCTCGCGTGGCGTTCAGCTGTCCGCAGCATATCCTCACTTACATGATCCTGCTACTTTTCGAGTGCGCGCAGGCACTGTGGTGTACACCAGCGCTGCGTTGCACGCGGATGCTGTACACGCGCATTGTGGTGCACGCGAGCACTGTGGTTTGCACAAACGCTGCGTTGCATACGGCTGTTGCGGAGCACGCAGGCGCACACGCGCGCTGTGGTGCACGCGAGCACTGTGGTGTACAAAGGCGTTGCATTTCACATGTTGTTGCGGTGCACACATTCGCTGTGGTGTACATAGGCGCTGTGGTGCACGCAAGCACCGTGGTGTACACAGGCGGTGCGTTGCACATGGCTATTGCTGTGTACACAGGCGCTGTGGTGTACACGCGCGCTGTGGTGCACGCGAATACCGTGGTGTACACAGACGCTGTGGTACAGCTCGCCACCTACATGCTGCTCCTAGTTGGCCTCGGTCATTACCAGGCATTATTGGACGCCGGCGCGAAACGTGACGTCATCTTTGGGGCGGGGGGGATGCGGGGCCGATGACGGCCAATATTGCGGAAAATAAAAAACATACTGCGATGTACTTCAAGCGCCTACCTACTTCACGAATCGATGCGCTTTGCTGTTTTTTTTCTCGGGGAGCTGAACCCAATCTACTTGATCCGCCTGTCTACTTCGTGTTTTTTTTCCAGCTGGCGCTCTCTTGCATTACATTCCTCCCCCATCTTCCTTCCCCTCCGCCTTTTCAAGCAGCTTTGGGCCGCACAGGCGCGCAAGTGAGTCCCGACGCCTTGCCAATCCCCCCCTCCCCCCTCCATGCAATATGAAGTAGCTCTTGGGTGGGCCGTCACGCGCGTTGCGCCCCCCTGCCCGCTTCCCCCCCTCACCTCATGATGCAACGCCCGCGTTGCACCCCCCCGCACGGCCGACGGAAGTCGCCAGAACGCGCTTCGAGCTGCCACAGGCAGCTTGCCCAGGCAGTCCCGGCTGGCCTCGGCAGGGCCTCCCGCGTAGTCCCAGCTGGCTTCCCAGGCATACGACGTCATGATTGTTTCAGGACGGCGTCCCCGGAAGTCTGGACCCTTTCCCCAGGACCGGTTTTTCACCCTGAGTCGTTTTTTCACGCTCCCGAGGCCCAGTGAGGGCCCCCATTGTAACGGTTTACCGCCGGTTCCATTTTGAACGCCACCAAGTGACAATCTGGCGTCGGTTTTGCGAAGAGATTCCAAAATTCGTTTCGGGAACCTCTATCAACTCGTAGAGCTTCCCTTAGCAACCGGTCGTCCTGACTTTTTCACGACGCGATCCCGTCTGGGTTCAACAGGCCTTCCGAGCAGCCCGGGGCGGCTTCAGCACCCCAGGCTGCGGGGCGCGGGGCTCTCCAGGGGGCGCCGCCGGCGGCGGCGGCGCGGTGGTGGGTCCGCCCCAGACCACTCGGGGGGGACCTGTTGAGGCCGGCTGGGACTACGCTCACTCAGAGCCCCGAATCATCAGGGGTAACTCGGGTCAGGGATAACTCGGGTTCCTTTCTCGGGAATCCAAACCCGAGTTACCCCGGACCCGAGTTACCCCGGATAACTCGGGCGCCCAATGTTGAGGCCGGCTGGGACTACGCTCAAGTCGGGCCTGTCCCTCCCAGAGGGGGGCTATTCCAAAATAGTTTAAAATTGTGTTGGGACGATGTCTTGAGCCTTTTGTGTCTACTTTTGGGGCATTGTTTGAGTATTTGTAATTTTTCGTCCAAGATCCGCCTGTAGGGGGGCGCGCCCGACCTAAGACTACTCCGGGGGCCTGTCGAGGCCAGCCGGGTCAACCTGGGGGCGCCGTCTGTGCGCAGCCCGAAACCCCACCAACGGCAACGACTGTCAAGGATGTGCTTTCCATCGGAGAAGCAAAAGAACCGCACACTGCGCTCACATTTCTTCCACACGCGGCCCCCGGACGTCTCGGCCCACTCTTGGGGACAGGCTTTCATCCTCAGTCCTTTGCGACGGTCCCGGGGCCAGGCGAGGGCCCCTATAGAGGCCAGAAGCGTCGACAGAAACCACTCTGGACTTTCTCCGCCTCGTTTGGATCTTTGAGGGCCCTTGTGCCGACGCTGCTCCCCCGAAGTCGCGCCGCGTCCTGCTCGAGGGGCGCCGCCGCCGGTCCTCAAGACGAGGGCCGGCGCGGGCGCCGCAGCGGATGGGCGCCCCGGATGGCCACCCGTGGCCGCCCGCGAAGCGCGGGTTCGGGTCGCACACCAAGGCGCCGCCATCAGGGGCGAGGAGCTGGAGCCAGACGCTCACCCGGACCACCGCGGGGGGTGGTGAGTGGCCAGGGTGGGTGCTACTGGCCAGACCTGGCGTGGGAGTGGGCTACAGGCGCCCCCAGTGGCATTGGGGGCGGGGAGATTTAGCGCGCTGCTCTCCCTAAGCCACTCGGGGCGCTTGCAAGCCACTTCTAAGCTGGGTCAGGCCAGATGACAACCATCTTGTCCACTTAGCAACCCCCGAGGTTATTCAAGCATGTTTCCGACGATCTGACTTTTTCAATCCCGCAGTGTCTCGTAGATTTCAGCCTCCAGGGCCCGTTTTGGGGATTCGGGGGCATCAGAGATGGATCCCGGGCGCAAGAGAACCCCCAGGGAAGGGGTCGGGACATCCGAGGCCGCACATTGAAGAAATCAGATCGGACGTCTGGACTTCTATCCGCTGAAGGAAGACACGTTATCGGAAGAGCGATTTCGAGCACTTCCGTCGGTTCCTGTAGCGTGTCCTGCCTCGGGATGCGCTCCAGCAGCTGCGCCTCAGCGAGAGTGTTCCGTGGGTACCCGACTCGTGCCAAACGGCCGCCCGAGGCCCCGAGTTGTGGCCCGAGGAGCGCAGATCCCCCTACACTGAAGTCGGGCGTGCCCCCCTACAGGACGAATCTTCAAAACATAGTATAAAATAGTACAATCGTCCAGGGACTCTTTTTTTGAGTACTTGTTCATGTTGTTTAATATTTGTTGGTGTATGTTTAATCGTTCGTCGAAGGGGAACATGCCCGACCTAACCCTACACCGCCAGCGTGTTGAACCACGTCAAGAGGGTCTTCCGCTGTTTTCCAGCTCCTGGGACCCTCGCGGGACCCCCGGGGCTCGGCGTGAACAGCCGGCTTTGGGGACACGGCCTGGATTTCTGGGGATCCCGCATCGAAAGAAGCAAGAAGACAACAGATGTTCAGAGCCCCGAATCATCAGGGGTAACTCGGGTCAGGGATAACTCGGGTTCGTTTTTCGGGACTCCGAACCCGACTTACCCCGGACCCGAGTTACCCCGGATAACTCAGGCGTCCAGGGCCCCGAATCATCAGGGGTAACTCGGGTCAGGGATAACTCGGGTCCTTTTTTCGGGAATCCAAACCCGAGTTACCCCGGACCCGAGTTACCCCGGATAACTCGGGCGCCCAAGATGTATGGGGAAACGCGGGCTCCCCATACATCCGACGTTTTGTTTTTGTTTTATCTGCGGCCCCTGGAAGTCCCGACCCCGTCCCCAGGGCCAGTTGTGCATCTCGAGCCGTTTGTTTTGTGAAGCGGTTCATGGGGGTTGCGAAACAGCCTCCATCCCAATCTCCCGACCTGATTTTGTTCCATCCGCGGCCCCAGAGCTCCAGACACCTTCCCCGAGAGAGAGCGGTGCCCCGCCCTGGGTCCACGTTTGATGGTCCCGGGGCCCGACATAACGGGCCCCAGAGGCCGCAGCCGAGGAACAGCTTAGAGATCTGAAGCATCGTAGCATCGGAGATCTAGGAGGCTACACTTGAGTCGGGCCTGTCCCTCTATAGGAGGTAAATTCAAAAATAGTCAAAAATAGTATTGAAACCATATGTTGTGCCCTTTTCCTTAGTATGTGTGAGCATTACATTTAATAGCCATTTTACAAACAACAATGAGAATCATCCTGGTAAGGATGATAATGATACCAATACGATTTTAATAATATTTAGAAGAATATCAATCATCTGAAATATATGCAACAAGCAAACGAATAAAGCCAACAACAACAACAACAACAACAATCACTTTACCCGAACGCTCAGTGTTCTCACCAGTGCCAGGGTTTTCATGCGACGCCAGCCAATACCCCCACTTTGTGGGGGGGCCGGTTCAAGCTCTACCAAATTTCCAAACGACTCTTCGCCACCACCCACACCCAGCTTCCCGCCCTATGACGTTCGGACACTTCACTTCGTGGCATGCGGACGACCGTGGCTACTATTCAGGGCCCCGCGGCCGACGACGACGGCGTGCGCGCGCGAAGAAAAAACGAATGTGTCCCGCATGGTATTATTTGACAGGGATGATGGCCCTGGCAGGTGCGCAACCGTTGTCGCAGAAGTTCGAAAAAGTTGCTCGCAAAAGCCCGTTTGACAGAAATGTTTAAAAAGTGTTGGGTTTCCTACGAATCCGCAAGAGCGCGCGGGATGAGATTTTGACATTTTTTTGTTGAAAAACCATTGGTTTTTTGATGTTTTTATGTTAAAATCGCTCCGAACACTAAGCTTTTGGAAGGATTTCGTCTTGCGCGCGCGAATGTCCACTTTACCTTATTTTTTGCAAGGGATTCTTGCAATTTGATCAAGTAAAAACAAGAATTTTCATTTTCTATTGTTTTTTGCAAGGGAAAACGAGCGTCAACAAAAAACCGGATCCGGAGCTCATCCACTTTTCTGAAGCTTTCGCGAAAAAATGATGAAAATGTAGCTGCGGCCTAGGCGCGGCGCAGAGGTCGCGCACCAGGGGTCCCAACAATAATAATTCTTTAGAAGGAATAATGTTCAACAACCAGCAGGAGCAACAACAACACCAACAACATCATCAACAACAGCAACAACAACACAAATGCGCCCCAAATCCCCCTGAAGGGGGACACGCCCGACCTAAGCTTAGAGATCTAAAGCATCGTAGCTCGGAGGTCTGGGAGGATACATTTGTTCAACACGTCGGGGGGTTCGGGTTTCGGGCCGCCCGCCCAGGCGCCGCCCATGACGCTCCGGCCCCCGGGCGTGGCCGCCGGCGCCGCCGGCGAGGTGGCGGAGGCGGACATCGAGCGCGTCCGCAGGTCGGGTTGACCCAAAAGGGGGCCCAGCGACAAGGGGGTGGTGCCATAGATTTGGTGCAATTGATTTTGTGGGGCTGCAAAACATTTGGGGCGTGCAGTACCTTCCGGGGCGCAAATGTGTTGTTGGCGTATCGCATGCAATACATGACTTGCAAGACAACGCAGTACAATTCTCCGGCGCAATCTGTTTGCCAGACAGTTGCCCCAGATCTGTTGCACCACCCCCTTTCAGCTGGACCCCCGTTTGGGTCACCCAGAGCAGGGTCTACGACCACGACCTCGCCGGCCGCCCGCACTGCTCCGTCAGCACGCCGCGGGAGGACCCGCGCGAGCGAGGCCCAGGCTTGAGTCGGGCCTGTCCCTCTACAGGAGGCATACTCAGAAATAGTTCAAAAGATAGTCTGGGCACCATTTTGATTATTCCCAACCATCCTGTGGTGTTGGGTCCTCGTTTTGAAGAGACGGTGCCCCGCGTTCCTCTCCTCTCCTCTCCTCTCCTCTCCTCTCCTCTCCTCTCCTCTCCTCTCCTCTCCTCTCCTCTCCTCCTCCCTCCTCTCCTCCTTCACCCACCCAGTACACCGTTTCGTGGCTCCATAGGGAGCTCCACCGAAGGCCCCAGTGCCCGCGCCCGCATGCGTCACCCACACCCATTTCGGCACACCCCTCACACGCTTCGTGGCTCCATAGGGAGCTCCACCGAAGGCCCCAGTGCCCGCGCCCGCATGCGTCACCACACCCATTTCGGCACACCCCTCACACGCTTCGTGTGCTCCATAGGGAGCTCCACCGAAGGCCCCAGTGCCCGCGCCGCATGCGTCACCCACACCCATTTCGGCACACCCCTCACACGTTTCGTGGCTCCATAGGGAGCTCCACCGAAGGCCCCAGTGCCCGCGCCCGCATGCGTCACCCACACCCATTTCGGCACACCCCTCACACGTTTCGTGGCTCCATAGGGAGCTCCGCCGAAGGCCCCAGTGCCCGCGCCCGCATGCGTCACCCACACCCATTTCGGCACACCCCTCACACGTTTCGTGGCTCCATAGGGAGCTCCACCGAAGGCCCCAGTGCCCGCGCCCGCATGCGTCACCCACACCCACTTCGGCACACCCCTCACATGTTTCGTGGTTCCATAGGGAACTCCACCGAAGGCCCCAGTGCTCCCGCCCGCATGCGTCACCCACATCCAATTCGGCACACCCCTCACACGCTTCGTGGCCCCATAGGAGCTCCGCCGAAGGCCCCAGTGCTGCCGCCTGAATGCGTCACCCACACACAATCCGGCACACCCCTCACACGTTTCGTGGCCCCATAGGGAGCTCCACCGAAGGCACCAGTGGCTGCGCCCGCATGCGGTTCCACCCCCCATTTTGGCACACCCCTCACACGTTTCGTGGCCCCATAGGGAGCTCCACCGAAGGCCCCAGTGGCTGCGCCCGCATGCGGTTCCACCCCCCCATTCTGGCACACCCCTCACACGTTTTTCGTGGCCCCCGCCCGCATGCGGTTCCATCCCCCATTCTGGCACACCCCTCACACGTTTCGTGGCCCCATAGGGAGCTCCACCGAAGGCCCCAGTGGCTGCGCCCGCATGCGGTTCCACCCCCCATTCTGGCACACCCCTCACACGTTCGTGGCCCCATAGGGAGCTCCACCGAAGGCCCCAGTGGCTGCGCCCGCATGCGGTTCCACCCCCCCTTCCGGCACACCCCTCACACGTTTCGTGGCCCCATAGGGGCTCCACCGAAGGCCCCAGTGGCTGCGCCCGCATGCGGTTCCACCCCCCATTCTGGCACACCCCTCACACGCTTCGTGGCCCCATAGGGAGCTCCACCGAAGGCCCCAGTGGCTGCGCCCGCATGCGGTTCCACCCCCCATTCTGGCACACCCCTCACACGTTTCGTGGCCCCATAGGGAGCTCCACCGAAGGCCCCAGTGGCTGCGCCCGCATGCGGTTCCACCCCCCATTCTGGCATACCCCTCACACGTTTCGTGGCCCCATAGGGAGCTCCACCGAAGGCCCCAGTGGCTGCGCCCGCATGCGGTTCCACCCCCCATTCTGGCACACCCCTCACACGTTTCGTGGCTCCATAGGGAGCCCCACCGAGCGCCCCAGTGGCTGCGCTCGCATGCGGTTCCACCCCCCCATTTCGGCACACCCCTCACTCGATTCGTGGCCCGGGGGCGCCACCGAAAAATATATTTACAATTGCGGTATTCACAACTACGTATGGTTGGGTCTTTCGTCAGGCTAATGTTTGAGCATGTGGGGGGTATCTTTTGATTATTTATATGTCATCCAAAAATCCCCCTGTAGGGGGACACGCCCGACCTAAGCCCAGGCCTCCCGCGCAGCGAAGTCATCCAGAGGGGCCCCAGCGCCGATCGGACCATCACTATCTCTCAGGCCTGTCTCACGATTTACTTGGGAACCGCACTATCGCTCGAGCCCTCCTCGCGATTCGTGCAGGACCCACGCTTCAGCAACCCGCATGCTCGACCTGGCCGCCTGGGCCCGCCTTCTCGACCCGCCCTTTAGGGTCTACCCCCCCATGGGCCCGTCTGGTTCTGCCACGTGCTTTCTGGCCGTAGCCCCCTTCCTGATACGCTCTATCGTGTGTTCCCTCCTCCTCCCTCCCCTTTTGTCACTTCCTTCCATCCGTCCTCCTCTCCCCCTGCCGTATGGGGCTGCATGACACACACGTTGCAGGTAAGAACGCTATACCCCAAAGGGGGTACAATCGACGACGAAGAGGGCTGGTATCGAAGGTTGGGGGCATACGTGTTGAATGGCACGCGAGGAGATACAAGCGACCAGGCTTAAAATGATTGTTCCTGTTGTGGTGGAATTTATCCTTCAAAAGAACAATTGTTGTTGATACCCTCTGCCCGGTAACTGTTGTATTTTCAATGAAGGTGATTCACCGGTAACCATTGTAACCAGGGATCGCATTTTGTTTTTTGGGTTCAGGGTGTCACCAAAATGCGCCCCCGGCCCCCGAATTGCAAAGACAGTTGCTCCCGCCTGGCACTTCCTCACAATGGACTCCGAAATCGCGCTCTCGCGCGGGACGTCCCTACAATTTATGCAGGGATCCCGCTCTCGCGAGGGGTTTCCTCGGAATGTATTCGGACGCCGCGCCCTCGACACCCAGGAATCACGCTCTCGCCTGGGCTTTTTCCATCGATTTATTTACAATTGCGCTATCGCTCGAGCTCTCCTCGCGATTCATGCAGTACTCAGTCTTCATCAACCCGCCTTCTCGACCTGGCCGCTTGGGCCCGCCTTCCCGACCCGCCCTTCAGGGTCTACCCGCCCGATGGGCCCGTCTGCTTCTGCCACGTGTTTTCTGTTCCGATCCTCCCTCCTGCGAATCCCGTGCTTCATCCTTCTCTCTCCCTCTTCCATCCGTCCTCTCTTCCCCTGTTTCAGGGGCTGCACCAATTCCGCGCGGCAGGTAAGGAAGATCTACCCCAATGGGGTACGATCGAAGACGAAGAGGGCCGGTACCGAGGGTCTGGGATATTCGTGTCGAGTGGCATGCGAGCAGAAAGGAGCGAACAGGTTTAAACTGACATGTGTTGTTGTTGATGCTATCGTTGTCGTTGTCGTTGTCGTTTGTGTTAGTATTATTATTATTGTTGTTGTTGTTGTTGTTGTTGTTGAATTCTCTTTTCTAAAGAATAATCATTGTTGATCCCCCCTCCGGGGCACATTTGTTTTTTCGGTTGAAGTGCCCTTCCCGGGGCTCGCACCTTGTTTTGTTGTTTTGTTGTTGTTTTTTGTTGAGAAAAAAGAAAAGAGGGAAACGTTTGAGTCTCAGGGTTGTGTCGTTGGCACCTGGTTTACAACAACAACGGCTCCCGCCTGATATTGCCCCACAATGTGTTGAAGAATCGCGCTCTCGCGCTGGACTTCCTCACAATTCATGTAGGAGTCGCATTCGCGCGTGGGAATTCCCTGCAATTTATTCAGACGATGCGCCCTCGGCGCTCAGGAATCGCGCTGTCTATTCGGCCTCTCTTACAATTTACTTGGGAATCGCGCTGTCGTTCAAAACTTCCTCGCGATTCATGCAGGACACGCGCTTCAGCAACCCACCTGTTCGACCTGGTCGCCTGGGCCCGCCTTCCCGACCCGCCCGCTGTGGGTATGCCCACCTGGTCTGCCCGTCTGGTTCTACAATTTGTTTTTTGCTCCTGGCCCCCTACTTGCTAATTTATTTCGCGCTCCATCCTTCTCCCTCCCCCCTCCACCCGTCCGTCCTCCCTTATTTCAGGGGCTGCACTAAAAGCGCGTGACAGGTAAGGAAGATATACATATATACCCCCAACGGGATACGATCGAATACAACGAGGGCGGGTACCGAGGGTTTGGGATATAGTTATTTGATGGCACGTGAGCAGAAAGGATAGAGGGCGCGCGTGGGGCCCGATAGACTAAAAGGGGGGCCGCAGCTTGAAGCTACCCCCCTCCCCCCTTCCTTGCTAAAGGGGGGGGGGCTTCGGAACCCCCCCCCCCCCTCCCTCCCTTTTCGTGGTTTCGGAAAGGGGGGGGGGGGTTCGGGGGCTTCTTCCAAGCTACCACGGTGTCCATGTTCGGGTCTGAGCCGGGGTGAGCCCCCCCCCTTTGAAAGGGGGGGGGGCTTCGGAAGCTACCCCCCCCCCCTCCCCTTCTTTTCGTGGCTGGAAAAATGGAGGGACTTCCAAGCTACCCCCCCCTCCCTCCTTTTAATGGAGCTGGGGTGAGCCACCCCACCCCTTTGAAAGGGGGGGGGCTTTGGAAGCTCCCCCCCCTCCCTCCCTTGGTGCAAAGGGGGGGGGGGCTTGAAGCCCCCCCCCCCCCTTCCCCCCTTTGGCCGCCCAGCTCCCGGAGCCATCGCCCTCCCTTTCGCCTCCATTTATTCCCGCCCCTCTCCCTCCTCTTCTTCCTTTTGCCTCCTCCTCTTCCTCGTCCTCCTCATCCTCCTCATAGTCATCATCGTCATCATCATCATCATCATCGTCATCATCATCATCATCATCATTATCCTCATCGTTCTCCCCCGCGGGTCCTTCCGTTCCGTTCCTCCTCCTCATCCTCGGTTTTCTTCTCCTCCTCCTCCTCCATTTTTCCTTCCTCCTCCTCCTCATCATCATCATCATCATCACCATCATCATCATCATCCTCTTCCTCCTCCTCCTCCTCCTCCTCCTCCTCCTCGTGATCCTCATCCTCCGTTTCCCCATCCTCCTCCTCCTCCTCCTCCTCCTCCTCCTCCTCCTCCTCCTCCTCCTCCTCCTCCCCTCCTCCCCCTCCGCCTCCCCCATCCTCCGCCTC